TGTGTTGAGTAGGGGTTATATCGGGTTATTTTCAAACACCTATAAATGATCCAACATTTACAGGTTATCATTTGAAAGGTGTGATTTGAAATAAAAATAGCCGACTATAGCAGAATCGAGTTCTTCTCTCCACTCAAACCCCTTTTAGTTTTGGCCTATTATAGGGTGTTTATCTTGTTTGGGATGTTTATATATGTGGGAATTTGATGGTATTATATTTTATGTAAACACAGTGTGTTAAAATCACGATTCCTACGCATTTTCAAAATGTGCCAGAAAAGGTTACCCAATAACCTTTTAAAAGTGCGGATTAAAAATGGGTATGCAAATCCAGTTATCGATATTTTAGCGCTGACGAATACTAAATAACTAATCTTCGTTTAACTAATGATACACAATCGATAGCTTGCTGAAGTTGGCGCTTAATCATCTAAATGTACCTCATTTATTATATAACGTTTATATTGGACGAATAAACTGACTTAAACAAGACAGAAGGCTAGAGGCATTAGCCGTATTCATTAAATAATGAAATATTTTTTTCTGGCATTATGTAACGAAGTGTTTATAATGCAAACAATCTCTGATAGTTATCTTCCCCTGTCAATAACGACCGATTAAATAGTGACATAATTATACTAATGATCCCATTAAGCAGTACCATCATGTAGTTTAAAGCAGTGATTCTATACCTTGAAGCAAAAGTGCCGAGTGCTTATCAATGTCATTTTAATTCATAAGACAGAAATCGTGAAAAAGCCCAGTTTTGATGGCTGTAGTGGGCTAACACTCAAGACAGTATTTAATATCAGAATGTAGGACTAAGACATTGTGATACACAGTCTGTCCTGTTTGAAATAGACATTTGACAATTCAGTGGCTACTAGAGTTCATTTTTGCATTGAATTATTACAAAATATATCACCCCTTACTGCATTAGTTAATTTTTATAGATACCTTGCAAACACTTTGAATTATACCAACCGGAACCGGAACTCCGTCTCGGATTACACTAATTGCTCATTGTTTGGTTTATATATTATAACCCTTTGTCAGCCATATTACAGAGGGTACCAAATATAGATATACGATCTGATGGGAGCTAGCCAGGATATCAATTCCAAGTAGGTGATATTTAAATAATAATTTAAGCTTTCACACAATTTTATATCAATGTATATTTATATTTTACTGTGACAATTCAATCTATTTACGGTCCAGGCGTGACACAATGGCCATCTGGCACATGGTTTGAATGTGATTAACAATAAAACCACGTGTACCGCAAAAGATAATTCTCTGTAGTAAAGGAGAGACTAAGACATGTAGTTTTATTTTTTAAAAAAGGTGTCGAGCAGGTCATGGTCAAGTCTGATGATCTTATTCGAAATTAGGTACTGAGTATAACGGTTTATAATATACCCCATATTTATTAATTAGATGGGAACAACTTCAACCACATCCAGGTACTTTTATATGTTTTTAAATGTAGTGAGTATTAGAGTTTGAAGTTTCTTGAACACTCTTACTCCACTTGTTATTTATTTAAGAAGTTCAATTGGTTAACAGAATATGCTATACTTATAACTATGAAACTGCTGACCAAGGCCAAGCGGTTAAAGCATATATTGTAAGTCTGATAGGTGAAGAAAGGGCGTATATTTTTGCAATATCTCTTTAAAAGATGGGAGAAGTTACAATTCTGGACTCCCCATTTATCACGTTATAAAAATATATGTTGCATTGTTATATATCATATATGTTGAAGAACCCAAGGACGCCTTATCTGAAAGCAAGGTACTTAAAAGTACTTTTGAAACGCCTATTGATTATTTTGGCGTTTGGAGTATCCATTCAGGCCCCTTCTGTTATCTTCGTAACATCAATGGATGCATTCAATAGTTATTTGTGGCATCTGTAGTTCCATTGAATGGCTATTTGGGGATCCTTTCGTTTGTAATTTTTCTTAAACGAGAAAACATTCTCATAAATGGTATGAAGACGTTTATTTTAGAATTCATATTTTGTTTATTTTAAGAATTATGCTATATATGTATATTTTTCAAATTTGCAATTTCACTTTTAAAGTCCTTTGATAAATTTGAGATTTTAGGCTTTAGGACTTTGGCCAATTATAGATATTGTTTCCCCAAGTGTATACTCATTTTAAATGAACATGGTTTATTAATTGTTACTATTGGTTATTATAGGATCAAAGGATTTGCTTACCCAATAATACTCGGCTGTAATTATTAAGTATCGTTATTGCACTTAAAAGACATGAGTTAGAGGTCGAATCAGGACGTTTAGGGGACCCATTGACTGAAATTAAAAATGGAATTCTAAATAGAAAAGATCGCAAACTCTGGATAACGTCATTTATTTTGTATTCTGGTCCAGGTGCACCATCTGCAAATTGTAAATCATCAGTGGATAAAAGACAAATCCTATTTGGACCCCACCCCCATCCTTTAACTATTCTGCTCCGTGGGAATAACTTTGATCAGTTGGTATGAGTGAACGTTAAATCCTATCCCAATATCGCTTTCTCATTCCGTGTAATTTGTCCTCCAATTTGGTTCAATGGCTTGAAGATAACTGTATAAAAATAAATACAATCTCTTCAATGATAGTTAGCCAGCACCATTGTTTCTATCGTATGGTATTGATTAGAATATAGGTAGACGAACCATCACCCCTTTCATCAAAGCCTAATTACTATTTATCGCTACTAGAGGTGATTATTTCACACAATCAGATCAAGATGAACATCTTAGTTCCAGAGTTATCTTTAGAACGGATTAAATCTCCCAGACGTATTCCATACCTCCGGTCAATGTGGACACATCCAGTCATTCATTTTCATCGCGACGTATCTGAGTAAAATGACACAGAAATGTTGACTATGTAATGTCAGACTGTAGGATATCCTGTGTAAAGTTTTCCGAGAGTTTTTGATTAGGAAATCGACTTGGGAGATCACTTACCAAGTGTTCTCAAAGAACGATTTTTTTCTCCTCGCGTTTAAATCAATTTTGGCTAATATAACTTAGTAGGTTGTCTTTTTGTCAGGTTAAACCATATGGACGAACCGTCACAAACATTCTATAGCTAGTTAACTGAACTGTAATGGGAAGTGACATCGTGTGGTCTAGAAAAGTAAGCATACAACTACCCGTGCATGATGCTGGTCAATAATTCAATAATTTTTGACGATGTGCCGGTCAAACTTCATCTTTTTCAACCATTTGAGTTGTGGTTAGAGACGTGTCCGAACTACTGTTGGTCAACATGAAAGAAAAAAGAATTAGAGTGATTCAGATTCTGTTATAATTTTTTTTTGTAATGTTAGTCGTTGTAGTATGAAATAAAAAGAACAATTTATTAAGAAATGGAGTATAGCATAGCGTACTACTGCACCAACTTGGCTAATGAAGACGGCATTAAGTTAAGAATTGATCAATTGTTAATTGAAAACGCCGAGGGGTTTCCGACAACCAAAATGGGAAATTGTAGCAGGTATTTAGAGCAGTAAATAAACCATGCTCCGTGGATCTCACTTTGCCAAACAAAACTGACTTTATAATACACGAGAAACGAAAAACAAATACCCCACCAAACAATAACCAACAAAACAAAAATACCCAAAACAACAAAACAAAACCAAATAGAAACTAAACAACAAACAAACAAAACAAAAATACCAAAAACAAAACAAAACCAAATAGAAACTACACAACAAACAAACATAAAACTAAAAAACCCAACCCACCAAACAACCAACTAAAAAAGTCACAAAAATCATCAAAAACAAACAGCAACTGAAGAACAAATAAAGAGTTATACTGCCTGTCCGTTGCCCGTCTTCTACACGTATTTTATTTTAGTTATGATTTCATTTCTATCAACTTTATAACTAATAATTCTGATTAATAAACAATACTCTTAAATAAAATCCTTTGGGTTCGTTTCACAGTTCATTTAATTGAACTTAAATAAAAAAAACCTTATGAAATCAGTCAAACGTACTAGTGAATGAATGGGAAGCAAGATTGGAAGTTGTAATTTTACTATACACAGAGACTTGTTAGTCCAGTATTCTAAACTAAATAATTAATAACGCGAATGAAGAAATAAGTCCCAACACGATCTCGGCTAATCTATAGTCACTGTTTGCCTTTGTTTAATGTTTAGAATACCGACTATGATATTGGCACACAATCATGCAAAGCGCTCTTTTCACACCGGGCTAGAAATTGTATGAAAATCAATGCGGACTTGGGATTAAACAAACGAAAAGAATTATGCAAAATTATTTAGCTTTGGTATGTCTCTGATTCGCGCTGAACTTGCGCAATCAATAGATCCATTCAATAACCTGTAATACTTCGCAGGACAGTTTACAGTAATAGCGCATTCATCCATTTTACAGAAAATTAAGGCAATCAAGTTGAAATAACGGATCGGGGACACATCAGAGGTGTGCGTGTCGCCCTGTTCCGAGTTACGTAAAGCACTCGAGTACATTTCCATATCGGTTTGGAAAACACGGATCAAACGTCGGCACACATCCAAATGAAACACCTCTACATCAGCTTCTAATTTGAGTGTACGGTCGATTTGAGCAGTTAGGCAAAGAACCTGCAGTTGTTATGTGATATGGAACCGTGTGCATGTCCCTGGAGTGTGTCGCGATTATAATACAAATATTTCATGAGCAGGCAGTAGTAGTGACGTAATCACTCTAGGAGTGAATCGGTCTTGTTTTTATTGGTTAAATGCTATCAAAGATAACACATGTAAACGAGAAGAAATAGTACAGTATTCTATTAAAACTCACTCTCTAATGACCAGCATTGGATTGGAATATACCACATGATAGAACTTCTTGCACGCGTCTCGTGCTGCCCTACACGCAGAAGCGGAAACAGCTAGCAGACGACATCTTTTGGAAACACAACGGGACATATACTCTGAGAGTTACTTGGCGCGGTATTTATTGTGCCTCCGTATTAAGTGTTTTGGGTGTTAAATTCGTTAAAACTATATGTGTGCTGGGATTATCTTCAATGGCTTTGGATGAAAATTGCTCCAAAATTAAGCAGAATCAAAAAGGGCGAGTGCGGGACAGAAATGCACCACTTATCCGAGTAAGTAAATACAAATATCAAACAAAACTCTCAAATTTATCTGTACATTTTTATAAACAACTTTTAGAATTCTTATTAGTAATGTTTGTTTATATTCCCCGCACGTGCTTGGACGTCTGCTCGAGTTGTATGTTTATCATTGAGTAATGAACGAAGTAGAGTTTGTTGTGTTTATAGTTTTGGAGAAGTTTGTTTCTAAATGACTAAATGTCAAACTCCTTGTAGTATTTGGACTTTTAGAAGCTTCGCGGATATGCAGGATCACATATCATAATAGGGGCGAAATTTCCGCGAACGTGCAAGTTATATTGAACCATGGGATTGGATATGGCGGGCAAAAAGTAGGAATGTAACCACTTATTGATTGGGCATATAGAATTTCTACTCCCGTAATTTACTATTATTAATCAGAGTTGGGCAGACATGGCGGCCATATTGTGTTCTCCAAGCTTGGAGACTCTGCGCTGTTGCTAGGCAGCCAATGGCATAAAGCATATATAGGTGTTAATTGTAAAGGAAGACCATAATAACGAGGTTAAGGTGTTAATATATACATATATCTTATGTACATATATGGTATTATTGACATTCATTGGGACTATTTTTATGTATTTAAATATATTAGGGAATATCCGATGTTATTTATGGCCGACTCTTGGCATATCCATATAGATATATTTTCATTAGCTTTATTACCGTGTCTGACTTGAAGATGTTTCGATTGAATTTGGTTTGCAATCTGGCGCGACATAACCACAGAAAGCAAAGATGTCAATGTTTTATGATATTATAAGGCACAAGTTCAACTAAGTTACCATTAAAGGAATTTAGCTAAATTTAAATTGAACTTGCAAGTTTTGATTTACTTGTCTTATGGATTCAGAAACTTATAGTTGAAGGCGGTGGGCCGAATTTATATTTTAAAATTTCGGATTTCTTAGTTCAGTTGCTCTTATGTCACATACGTTACATGAAACAGAAACTTAGTTATAGTTGAAGGCGGTGGGCCGAATATATACATTTTAAAATATCGGATTTTTTTAGTTCAGTTGCCGTTATATGACTTACGTTACATGTTGACTATTGAGAAATGTTTGAATAAATATGTTCTCAGGGACATGAGTTAGATTTTGAGTTTTAACGTTACAAGTTGCTTTATATAGCTTTTACAACAAAGTGAACATTTGAGGTTTGAAATACTTAGTTTGACTTACGTTACGTTATTTACCTTACATATTAACATATTTGGTCATCGAATTAGTTGTATAGCGTTTATAAAATACTGAACGTTTGAGCTGCATATTAACATATTTGGTCATCGAATTATTTGTATAACGTTTATGAAAAATGGAACATTTGAGTTATATATTTGATAAAAAAGTTCGTACATTGTTCTGTTATATATCATAATATATTTGTTCATCGAATTATCTGAGTTATACTAGTATTACGTTACATAAGCTACAGATTGATACGGCAGTATATTTATCGAAATGGAACATTTGAGTTACAAATTGTAGGTTTGAGTTTTGTTAGACTTACGTTATATATAAAGAGAAATGGGGTTTAACGTCCACTCGACACAAACTAGGTCATTTCGAGACTAACATATGGGTCTTTAGTAGTGGGAGGAAACCGGAGGACCCGGAGAAAACCCACGAGGTTGGACGGAGGACCCGGAGAAAACCCACGAGGTTGGACGGGCGACCCTACTCCTTGTCACGTAAAACCGGGCAATCAAAACCACGCCAGTTGACTCAATGACAGACCTTATGATACAACGCGCACGCGCTAACCATTCGGCCAACCAACGCCCCTGATTTACGTTATATATTAGCAGTACGGTAAATACCGGCACATATTAACTGTGTAGTATTTGTTATCGAAAGGGAGACGATTGTTATGTATTTTGATTGAGCGATTCAGGGAGAAACAGTTTCTTAATTACATTGATTAGCAAATACGTGTACATGCAAATGGAAGTTTGGAAGTAAACATTGTATTGATTTGGCTGAATTTCTGTGACAAATACCAGCCTAATGTTGGGAATAGTATCCCTATCTTAAACTGTTAACTATATTTATAAATGTATGTGTAGCTAGCTATATGTTAGGGTGGCTTTAGTTTGTGACACATGAAGTGCACAGATGACCCATGTAACCGCCATTATTGTAACGGTGTCCTCAAATCTTATGGAGTTATGCACAAACAGAGCATGCTTAAAGTGAAATTTTTATATCAAAGAACTTTTAGTTTATGTTATAACCCTATTTTATGCCTACTTTATAATTTATGTAAGCAATTTTAATTAAATCCAGGTGCCCATATAATATGATAATTATACACTGTATTGGAATAAAAATTATAACAAACAACAACTCTTAACAGATTTGATAACAGTTCTCATTCAGAGGGTTTCGTATTTTTTATGGTTCGGACAATTTTAATTTTATATTGGTGTGTGTGACTTGTATGTCATAATGTTTCTTTCTAAAGAATAGAGCGTCCCAATACTTGTCATGGAGGTTTTCGATCTATTACAAATGTCAATTGTGGCGGGTGGGGTCTCGACCTTGAAAATTTATGTTTTGGTTTGAATATGGAAGTGGAAGTGACATCGGGTTGACCTATAGATAGTAAGATGAATCCGTCTCGTGCATAATACGTGTCACAATTTACAGCCCAATACAGCAATATTATAGAGAGGATAAACGCGAGTTACCAAATCTAATAATGACGTCAACTATCCTGTAACGTCACAAATTCCCATAAACGAGATTTAAACATTTAAACGTGTTAATATTAATCGCCATCTTACTCTTACTGACGTAAATTTGGGACTGTAGAGATGATCGTATTGCACTGGGTCGTTTCAAGAAACATTCAAAATATATATATTTTTTGTAATGTTGATTATTTGGATGCTTTAGGAATATGAAATGGGTATTCTAAATGGGCATGTGCCTTGTAATCTATAACATTCTGTTTAATCTAAGTTAAACGGGCATTATGGAAGATTAGACAGTTCTCACTATAATAGTTAAAAACTGGATAATGTAAAAGGAATATGCAGAAACTTTCAGTCAAATTGCTCTACTCTAAACCGAGATATTAGCCTTTGAATTTTAGACCTAGTCTCGAACATCATTACAAAAGTCAGTACGATAAAAACATAGTCTTGATAATCCATTTTTGGATTAAATCATCAATGAATGTTGAGCAGCAAATCCAGTGAAAATCCGACACATAAGATCACATCGAGAGTTGATTAAGTTCTTTTCATGTTAATAAATGTCTATTTAATAGTTTATATAACCTTTCAGACCCAAAGAAAGACCTGCAATAGGCAGATTTAGCTCTTGCATAATGTATGTTTAAACATCCACATTTTATTCAACATCCAAATCTGGGTCATGAACAATACAAATATAGCTTGATTGACGTCCGGGATAAATAATGCATAATCAGACGAAACGAGATTACACCCCTACGACGTTCTTTATGTTTTAACATTAAAGAAATGAGTTTGAAATGCCTGAGGGCCGTGGTAGTCGAGTGATTGGGTAGCTGAGCACTAGACGAGAATGGTCTGGTTCAGATACTTAGTGGGATGAAACAACGTACACATTAACATGCACTTGAAGCAACAATAGGACCTGGAATTCGTAAGACTGCGGCACCTATGCTGTTTATAAAATTTATTTCCTTTGGCACTGCGCACTTGACTTCAGTAATTAGTATGATTCTTGGTGCCCCGCCCCCCACTCCCCTCCCCCGTTATGATAACATTTTCGAAAAACTGACTGTAAATGGTGCTTTCTATATTATATCTTGAGTACCAGACCCCCAGAGACTACAAACCATTGAATGTAATTTACTATTTCAAAGTACGACCTTACTAATTCACCAAGAAAACTGCGTAAATTCAGGACTAAATAGGGTCCCCAAACTACGTGAGAATATTAACTTCTTTAGGGATCCAACCCTGCCTAATCATGTTGACAATAGCCCCCGCTCCCCCTCCTCCCCATTCCCTTCCAACCGTCTGTAAACCCTTATTTCTAGCAGTTGGTATGTTACACTCTTCTGGACACAACTTCAAAGCTTTGTACAAATTCGATTACCTATAACTTGGCCCACTTATTATACTGAACTATCATGATTGAAAACATTGTTACAGTCTCTAGTAAAATTAGCCAATTTTTCCAACGATTTATTGGAGATAGAATAGTAATAGTATTGGCATATGGTCAACAGTCAACACTAGAATGAGAACTGATGTGTATTTTGAAATCTCTGAATATGGTCATTGTGTCGGAGCTCTACATTATCCAGACAATGTCCTGCGAAGCAAAGTGTCAATGTTTGATTATAAATCTCTGAAAAGAGACGGTACTTCAACTTAGCCAGATCACACAGCTGGAGACCTTATACCACTTGGTAGTTACTGTCGTGGATAGTTATATTATTATAACACCCAGAGTTATCGGACATTGGGGGTATATGTTGGACATGACTAGATATATTACGTTATTAGGGGTATATGTTGGACATGACTAGATATATATTTACGTTATTGGGGGTATATGTTGCACATCACTAGATATATACGTTATTGGGGATATATGTTGGAAATCACTAGATATATTACGTCATTGGGGGTATATGTTGGACATCACTAAATATATTACGTCGTTGTGTATATATGTTGGACATCACTACTCACTAGAGGTATTACTTATATATTTTGGTCATCACTAGAGATATTACGTCATTGGGTATATATGTGGAACATCACTATAGATATTACGTCATTGTGTATATGTGTGGGACATTACGTTACGATAGATAATGATAGAGACATTACAACAATAATCCCATCAATTAGAGATAACGCATATTTACTGTCAAGAAAGGTTGCTAGACACATTACATCATAGGGAAGTTGGATGGTTTAGTGGTTTAACACGTGCGCGTGAAATCATAAGGTCTGTCATTGA